ACCTTGAGGTGTCAAGTGAAGCAATCGGTTGTGGCGGTTGCAAGTCATTGGGCGAATGTGCTTGTGCTGAACAAGTGATTGCTATGTCCACTCAAGGTTGTGGCAATTGTAGTCCTGACACTCACTGTCAGTGCTTGGAAGAAACGCTCAAGGATGTTGGCATGGATTTGAAGAGGGCACACTCTCCTTCAGTTGATGGCGCCTCGGAAAAGCGTGTTCGTTTGTCATCTAGGCCTTCCAGTCCTCTCGAGATTGATTTTACTGCCCAGTTCTCACGACGACAGCCTGTCATCCGTGAGCCATCGCCTCCACCTCAGATCATCTCACGACCTATAGAACCATGCGGCTTCTGTGATCAATCAACATTTTGCCCGTGTGCTGAAAGAGAACAGGAGAATCGTCTTGCACCTTTACTTAACGAAGTTACGCCACCACCATCAGATACAGATGTTGAAAACACACAAGTCAAACTTCCATCTATGCAACCCAACCATATGCATCGACCAGTTAGTGCCGCGCCAGCTTCAAATTCCTGTGCTAATGGCCCTGGTACTTGCAAACAATGTATAAGTGATCCAAAGGCAGGGCTATTCTGTCGATCACTTGCAGCAATGAGAGCTTCTTCAAGCTCAGCTCCACCTGACGGATGTTGTGGTGGCAATTCTTCCGGGGGTGGCTGTTGCAAGACAATGGAGCCGGCATCTACTTCAGAGCCACCTCCAAGCTTATCTGTTGCAGAAACCTACAAGACCCTTTCTACCCACAAGAATTTCGATCAAGCCAGTGATGAGTTGAATACGTGGTTAGGTCGTCTTCATGCTACACCGCTCCAACATGCTGGTAGAGCACCCATGGAAGTGGAGGCTGCAAGTGTTATGGGTGTACTCAAGCTCTTTGATCGAAGATTCGGAAGAGGTTGAAGACCATAGAAAGTTTTATTATAGATACCCAGCCTTCATTACGACTCATGAAGACGAATGACTTCATGTTTTATTGTACATATTTTCAGGATATGCATAAGCATAAAACAAAAGCATAAGCGATTTGACTTTTTATTTTTATTTTTGGAGCAACGTTCATTGAGCTGGCCAACCGTCATGTACATGTTTAGTTTAATATATCAAATGCAATGCACATATCCACTCCAACGGTCATGTATACGAATGACAGCTGAGAACTCCGTACTCACAAGGTATCCACAATTCTTGGCGATCAATTGTCCTTTCCTAGAAAGGAAGGTCTAAGTACAACGAAACCGTTCCTGGGGAATTCCGATACCAAGTTATCTTTTCCGATCCATTACCTGCCCCACGTGTAAGATTTAATCAAGGAGGGGTCGTTGGTTACACTGCAGCACGTTCCTGAGCACCTGCCTTTCCTTCCTTTTCTTCTCTATAATTTCAAGCCATTGATAAGTTGCCGTCTTTTAGTCCTTTCGGGTTTGCACGATACTAGGCTGTCGGAGTAATATCTTTTTTGAATTCGGTAAGATTTCCTATACGGTAATTAGGTAGATTAAATGCATGTTCGATGTGACTGAAGTGAGTTAAAAGTTTGGTCGACTACTTTTATTTATATTTAAGCTCCAATGTAAGTTCGAATATTTCTTGATCAAACTTCTTTTTGCTTGCGCTTTCTCAATTACGCCTTTAAGTTTTTGGAAAGTATTCAAGATGCAGGCCGTTAAAATTGCTGCGTTCCTCGCTCCTCTGCTACTCCCATTCCAAGGTGTACAAGCATCATTATACGGAGAAAGTAGTTTCAACCACACCTGTGAATTGAGTGCGTATTTACCCTCCCCAGCGCAATCGCAATTGCATTTCTATAAGAAAGTGAAACATCTAACAAAAAATAAGAAACGCCCTATCTCTCCTGTTCCAAGAATGCCTCTCCAGACCTCACCGATTCCTGCTGTACCGAGACTTTTGGAGGTCTAGTTCTCAGTACCCAATTCTGGGATACGTATACTGGGTTCGAATCGGAGGGACAATTGTTACCCAAGAATTCGTGGACGTTGCATGGACTTTGGCCCGATTTCTGCAATGGAAGTTATACGCAGTATTGTGATTTGAGGTTTGTGAATTCCAATTTGTTGTGGTTCAAAGTTATTGGGGAAGAGAAAGAACTACAGAACTGATTTCAACAATATGTAGTCGTCAATATGACCCCGTTCCATCTCCTAATACTACAACCGGAACGGCAAGTGGAACACCTGTGCCTCCTTACACCGGAAAGCCCATCTCGGAAATCATCAAGAGTTACGGAAAATATGATCTCCTCGCCTACATGAACAAGTGAATTCCCGCTCTCCTTTCCCCTCCTACCTCCCCATCCCCTCCCAAAACTAACACCCCATCCCCAGCTACTGGATTGCCCAAAACCAACCCAACTGGTACCTCTGGGCGCACGAATTCTCCAAACATGCCACCTGCTTCTCCACCTTCGATACTCCCTGCTACGGACCAACCTACAACTCCACTCCCTTCTCCGACTTAATCTCTTTCTACACCACCGCTCTCTCCTACTTTTCCACCCTCCCAACTTATGATTTCCTGAGCAAACACCATATCGTACCTTCCAATACAACTACATATACGCTTTCCTCGCTGCAATCGGCTTTGAAGAAGGAGACTGGAGCCGTGCCATATATTGGATGTTCGGGACCGAGATATAATGCTACGGAGCAGGGGAAGGGGAGTTTGGATAATGGATATACGGTATTTAGTGAGGTGTGGTATTACTTCCATGTGCTTGGAAGAGTGCAGGATGGGAAGAAGACACCTGTGGGAGCGGATATCAATGGGGGTAGCATAAGCAGTTGTGCGACTACGAAGGGAGCAGTGAAATATTTTGAACGAGGTGCGGGGTCTGTAAGACGGGGAAGTGGTGCTTATGAGTTGGAGGGTGTTTTAGGATCATGAGGTAGTTTTGATGGGTGATTTAATGGGTGGTTTAATGGGGTTGTGAATATGAATGATATGTAAGCTAATAAGAGATAAATTTGGATCTAATTATTACATTCCTAAATATGTTTCGTAATCCCTGGTTCAATTTGCTCCAAAGCCTCCATGACCTCAGTGTAAACCCTCATCTGCGCATTCTTTCCCTTGTCACTCCTTACGTATTTACTTGGTTCACTGACCATGCAATCCACCATGTACGCCCCATGACTTTCGTCTCCAGCAGCCGCTGCAGCAACTAAAGTCCTACTACCTACCTCTGTTGTCCTCGCTAACAATGATTTACCAATGTAAGCCAAGATATTCAAAGGAAACACGGCATGACGCATCAGGTCAGAATGACAGAATCCGGGGGTAAGTGTATTGAGTATTATTTGTTCTTTGTCGGATTTAGATAGTCGGGGAGCGAGTTCGCGAATGATGAAGATTTCGAGGAGTTTGGAAACGTTGTAGCGGTCTTGTTGGAGCTTGGGATTCTTGAGGGCAGGAAGAATGAGAGGGAAGGATTGTTCTTTGAAGACGGCCTAGAAGGGAATTTGCGTTAGTTTTTGAAGTTTCTTGGAGTGATCTCATATTGAGGAGTAAGTTCGCAAATCGCTAATGCCTCGCCAAATTGAGATATTGACAATCCAGACAACAGATGAAGGGGTAGAAACATACCTGTTCATGCGCATCACTCGCTACAATTGTTAATCTCGGCACTATATTAAATTTCGCAGCACTCTCCCTCAATTTCGGCAGTACCAGTAATGCCATTAAAAATGTACTCATCACATTAACCGTAACCGTACTTTCCATTCCCTCAAACTCTTCATATTTCGGCACTGCCAATCCCGCATTCTCAAGCATAACATCTAACCGGTCCAGCTGGTCTATTTTGACGCAAAATTCCTTGACGGAGGCATACGAAGTGAGATCCACCTGCCATACTTCGATGATAGTTTTGTGATTAGGAAGCGAGGCGGAAATAGAAGCAACGGCCGCTTCACCTTTAGAAATGGTACGGCATGCGAGGATTACTCTTGCAGCACCGAGTCGAACAATGTGTCGAGCGGCTTCGAGACCAAGTCCTGTGTTTGCGCCGGTTATGATGATTGTTTGGCCCGCAAACGAGGTCTCTGGATATGGGAGTTTCTTGAACTGCGATTTTAAGAAACGACCGAGGAAATCGGTGGGACTAGAGAGGGAGAGACATTAGAATGCGGATTTCGAGTAATCGAGAGAAGATGAAGGTGGTTGTTCAACTTACAGATTGAAGTTTCCAAATAGATTAGGCATGATGATTATATTTTGGTATTAGTGAATCTGGTAAATCAGTATTTGGGAATGAAGCAATAGATATTTGAAGCAATTATTCAAACACATTTTGGTGTTGATGATCAATTGTTCGACGTCGATGTCTGAAACCATAGTGAACAGCTTCAAACACATCGTCCTGGAGTTCTTGTCGGAAGAGATGGCCCGTGAGCTTATACAATAAATAGCCCAAGGTTTTTGGTCTTTCACGTGCATAAACACTCGTCCGATATTACTCGTATGCCCCGCGAAGAAGTTCCAATGTGGTCCACCAGGTCACTCTCGCTCCCTTTGCTACCCAAATCCAAATAGGCATTTGAACAAAATACTCTTCATGTGAAATGGTGTATTTTTTCAAGTTCAGTTGATTATTTGTCCACAGAAAAATTGAATGGGCTACCTAATCGTTGAGATTTGCGTGTCCATCAATGATGTGAAGACAGGAAACATAATTTTTCAATTGCTGTTAAATATATATATATATATATATTAGTTTGGAAAGTTTCAATTCCGATTTGCTTGCAAATCTTGATACGGTTAAGAGGACAGGGTGAACAATATTTGGACCGCCTATCGAGTGCTGGATGGAGGCTTCGTGCTGACAAGGCCTGACTGGCACACGCGATGCTGATAATGGCCAACTGCATGCTGGAAAGCACAGGTGTGCATTTATCCCACCAGGCACTCGAGTTTTGCACCTCAAGACGCTGACGGGATCCAAGTTAACATTAAACACGATACATCATGGCCACAGCTAATTCTAACCTTTTTACTACCAAGCGCGCGGCACGCCGGGATGCGTCGTATGATCCAGGCAATGAGTCGAATTCATTTGCAAAGATCACCAGGCGAAGTAGTCAATTTCCACTTCCAGTGCGGGACGACAACTCAATTAGTGTATTGGAACCAGAGGTTGTCAATGTCGTCACTAAGCCCAGGATTGAACGTATCGAGGTACTAGCTCCTCGCGAAAGCACGTCGGACGATTCAGATAATTTCAACTACAGCAGTATTGTATTACAAAATGTGGAAGAGCTTTACTGGGACCCCTTGGGAGAGATATCAAACTTTAGAGTTGGGGAGCTTTCGGCATCGGCAAACTTCTCTGTCAATATTCGTACCGAGTCTCGTGAAGAAGTGTTGCCCATTGATATGCATGTTCTGGAAGTCGTGCATTCGAGCCCTTCGGGTAAAATTTTCAAGGTTACACTCAAGGACACAGAGGGATTATCGGAGTATCTAAAGCAAACTCCAATCGAACAATCGACAGCGCGTTTTTACTTCTTACAGGACGTATCGATCCATGCATCGCCAATAGTCAGCCGATTGTTGGGCTGTAGTATCAATGTTTTTCGAGACCACTTTAAGCGTGCCAGCGATGATGTCGCGTTTTTACTTCCGAGTAAAAGCGTCATCCAGGATCATGTGGTCATACCCTATCAACGTTGCTATAGACGCAGCTCTGCTAAATCTATCTGCGAAGTCCAAAACAAAAGGAGTACATTTTGTCATGGTAATCTGGTTTCTTCCGAGGAACACGTCACAGTATGGACGTCACGAAGTAGCCAAGGGTCTGCCAGAAGTATGTTGTTTTCATTTTTCAATGATTTCCAATGTCACAAAGTATTAGAGTTTCTATTATCTCTTTAAGGTGACCTGGGCTTATTTCCTACATCCATAGCTTTGATCATTTGCGATGGGAATCCCAAGCAATCCGGTGATCACTTTGATTTTTCTCTGACCATGCGTTCAAGACTCGAAATCCAAGTTCAAGAACAATATCATCAAGATCCTGACCAAAATTTCTTCCGCGTGAAATCCTTAATAGCAAAAGTGCCGTGGATGGCATTACGGGTTGCTAGCAATGAATGGCAATCCGTTATCCGGGCGCACGAAGCATATATGCTTCCAGGTCTCAAGCCTCAATACCTCGCCAGCACTGAAGTAAGGTTGTCGGAGAAAGAGGCATTCGAGGAGTATCTCAAACAGACATGGAGTATGCTAAAGATGAACATCCGTGTCATTGATTCTCTGGAAACCCTTTGCTCTAGTTGGCTTACTGAACAATACAAGGAAACATTGAAAGACTATCAATTCCTTGAAAATAAAGTCATGATCCAAATGAAGCAAAACAGTGCCAGTATACCACTACTCACAGCAATGATAGCTGTTGAGGAGAGTAGAAAGGCAATACAGCAAGCCAACGACGTCAAGTAAGTTGCAAGATGTCGTCAAATTTCCCCATATCACAATGCTAACAAACTACAGGGCTTTGACAGTCCTTGCAACGGTGTACATTCCATTATCATTCGTTGCCGGCGTTTTTGGTATGAATGTATCGGAACTCAATTCTGGAATTGATGTTGATATTTGGGTATACTTTGCTATCAGCATACCGGTTACGATAGCATCAATGGTTCTAGTATGGAAGTGGGAATGGTTGACAAGAAAAGTTAAGAACTTTCGAATCAGACCTAATAATAATCCCAGCCCGAGAAAGACCGTTTCAGGAGCTCTTTTCTCCGTGGGTAGAATGACTGCTGGGATTGGAAAACCGAGAGATGTTCAGATTGGCCATGATTTGGAAAGATAATTCACTGGAACTAGGACATAGTTAGTTTGGGTACAATTCCCAACACTCAACTAGGTACCTAGGTACATATGAATCTCTTATTTTCTTTTCATAATTGGATGATTTTTATATGGAAATGCAGTCCTATATCAAGAGAGTATATTGGACAACTGGACAGCTCGTATATAAAACCAGGCAGGAGGAAAAGAGGATATATTGTCAGCTTACTGTGGAAATTCCTATCTCGTCTATCGTTAAATTTACAGGACATGAAAACAATCAAACAATTTTCATACTCATTGCATTTTAGTGTATCAATCAATATAGGGTTACAGATAATAAGTTAATCGTAGACATCAGGTATCTAGGTATCTAGGTATCCATACCAACACTCCAAGCACCAGAACTAGGTAACCTCTAGTTCTATCTCGAATCCCAACCGCAATTTCAAAATCTCCCTCTTCAATACTATCAAACTATATCCAGATAACTGTTGTCATCTCAATCTCAATGTCAATGTCAATGTCAATCTCAAACACAAATTTCAAAACCTCCCTCTCCAATACTAACAAACTACATATATATATAATTCTTGTAATATCCATCTCCATATCCACCCCTATCCCTATCCCCATCCCCATCCCCATCCCCATCCATTCACCCCGCGTCACAAAATATCAATCTCAAGCACCCTACCCAAAACATAACAAACATCAAATCACCCTAATTTTCTCATTCAATAGACATCTCTCACTCTATCCGATCTATCTACATTTTGTCTGTAATACAGCAAGATTAACATTTAGGAATTAATTAGTTTTTTATTGAAAATATTTTGTGGAAATTAAACTCTAAAGCATATATTTACTTATTTGCTTATTTATGTACTGGGTTAGTTAGATACTCACATAATATTTACCCCAGTGATTCTGAAGTGTTGTTGCTAGATACAATGTATGTATAAACACACACACACACACAAAGAAATAAAACATATGATACCGAATCTCACATTCGGCACTAAATCTTCGGCACTAAACCATTTATTAAGTATTCTCTTCATCATCTAATCTATCTTGATCATCTCCAACTTATGGGACTTTCTACTTTGTATTAAAATACTCATTGGATTAACAAAATGAGTTCACTATATTATTTAGGGTTTGTGTAGGTGTATTGAGATGAGAGGGTAGGTTAGGCTTGTTCTAGACTTGACTTGATCGACGAATATATTTATTTAGATGTAATTCTAGGTATACATTCACCCTTTTCATGATTTTCGTTTTCTTTTTCATTTTCATTTCCCTTCTCCTCCCTCTCCCTCTCCTCCCTAATCCTCGCATCACAAACCCCCGGAAATGCACACTCACACCCCATCTCCGCACCTCTCTTCACACTCCTCATCGTGAGACTCCATCTGCCCTCCCTCCTCCTCTTGACCCCCTCACGCTTCTCATCCCCATCCCCATCCACATCCACATCAAACTTCCTCCCCCGAATCCCATGCGCAAACCCATACCTCGCTTCCCCCCTCATAACCAACAAACTCCTCTCCCTCAACCAAACCTCCCACTTCTCCTCCCCATCCACCTCCACCTCCGCCTTCTCCCTCTTCCCACTCTCACTCCCATTTGCAACCCCCACCCCCTCCCCCAACGACCTCTTCGGCCTCCTCACCTTCCTCTCCTCATTAACCCCACACCTCTTAAACCCCATCGGCACCGCCGACCCCAAACTCAAACTATACAAATACTCTCCAAACGCCGAATGCGTATCCACATGCGGCGGGATGCCTGTTCCCGGTGGATAATACTGCACCGTGAATTGATCCACCGCCACCCCCCCTTCCTCTCGAAACGGCAACCTCCCCACCAGCTTCTCAATCCAATTTGGGACATCCGTCCACGCATCCGAAGCGCAGAAAGTGGTGTAATCGAAATGCGCACCGTAATGCATCGTTTGTCGCTTACCGATTCCGCACCAACGATCATCTTTCTGGATCGATGCGATGATTTCGGCTTCTTCTTCTGGCGTGATGAAGTTGGCGTAGAGTACCAATCCATTTTCCCAATGCTGGATGGAGGGATTCTGGGGATCGGGAGTGGGAAGTGGATTTGTGCTTCCCATGTTTTCAATGCTCTGAGTCTTTCACGTGCAGGGATTGAATGTGTTTTTTGATGACGATTTTTTACTTTCCCATTAGAAGTTTTCTTGATGACTAATTGTTTGTTAGTCTTGCAAATTGTTAGAGAGCACTATTTGGGATTACCGATATACTACAGATGGGAATCTTTTGGTCCCCAAAGAAAATGTTTTGAGTTTCGCATCATAGTAGTCCCTCGAAATTACTTCTTAGTATATTTTCCTGCTATGAATGAACTAGCGAGGTTTTTCCGAGATTATTCAGCAATAAGACTCCCTCACTCAGCCAATCAGAATTTCGGGGCGAGCCAGCTCGTCAGTGTTTCGAAGCGCCTAATATTTTTTAATATTTTCTAATTTAAAAAAAATGAGAGAAATAAGAAAAATAAAAGAAATAAGAGAAATAAGAAGATTTAAAAGATTTAAAAGATTTAAAAGATTTAAAAGATTTAAAAGATTTAAAAGATTTAAAAGATTTAAAAGATTTAAAAGATTTAAAAGATTTAAAAGATTTAAAAGATTTAAAAGATTTAAAAGATTTAAAAGATTTAAAGATTTTAATAATTTTAATAATTTAAATAATTTAAATAATATAAATAATTTAGATAATTTAGATAATATAAATAATGTAAATAATGTAAATAATGTAAATAATGTAAATAATGTAAATAATGTAAATAATGTAAATAATGTAAATAATGTAAATAATGTAAATAATGTAAATAATGTAAATAATGTAAATAATCTAAATGATTAAGATGATTGAAATGATTGAAATGATCTAAATGATTAAGATGATTGAAATGATTGAAATGATTGATTGAAATAATTAGAAGATTTAGAAGATTTAGAAGATTTAGAAGATTTAGAAGATTTAGAAGATTTAGAAGATTTAGAAGATTTAGAAGATTTAGAAGATTTAGAAGATTTAGAAGATTTAGAAGATTTAGAAGATTTAGAAGATTTAGAAGATTTAGAAGATTTAGAAGATTTAAATAATTTAAAAGATTTAAAAGATTTGAATAATTTGAATGATTGAATCAATTGAACTATTAAATATGTGAACTAAGTTGACTGATTTGAATTGATTTGAATGATTTTGAATGATTTGAATGATTGAATGATTTTGACTGATGAATGATTTAATAATTTTGAAATTGATTCTGAATAATTTAGATATTTTAAATATTTCAGATATTTAGTTGTACTCAACAATCACAATATCAAAGACATTCACGCCTGTTCATTGTATAATAAACCGTTAGCAGTCAAACTTACATAGACCACATCAACAAGATGTTGAAGCAAATTCATTTATGAAGTCCATTCGCTCGTTTATGCATACAATCTCATATCTATCACCCCAACAAAACGTTGATAAAGTTAAAGCAAGAAATGCAAACCACCATACCGCTTCCCCCCAAACAATCGCCTATTATGCTCTCTTTTACTCATCGGTAACCGAAGCGAATTTATCAGTCATAGCTTGAACAAGATCCTCGTACTGTGAAGATGTTAGATAAATATACTCTCAGATAAATGAATAATATGGATGAACATACCTTCTTTGTGATCTTGTCCTCGCCTTCACTTGGAACCTCGAATTTCATATTTCTCAAATGGGATTGAAGCTCTCCGGTAGCTTCACGTACTTTAGCCCAACTTTGACCTTGTGCGACTGCTTTCTGAGCCTCATCGTGGAATCCCATCATTGCCTTCATCATCCATTCAGTCTTCCAAATAGGACAGAATTGATCATAGTCACTGTAACCATTTTGTTGCAAGAAATCTTCCTTGACCAATGCAGCTACATCCAGGGTAATCTTGTCAGGGTCGGACAATGCTGACTTTCCAACCAGTTGAACGACTTGATCCAATTCTTCAGAATCAGTTAAAAGTTGCTTGATACGGTCTCGAAGTCTGGGAAATTCGGGGAAATCCTTCTCGTAGTATTTGTCGAGAACAGTAGTATATTTACTGTAACTGACTGCAGTATTGATAGAAGGGAAATGTTTACGTTGAGCAAGTTTCTTGTCGAGACCCCAGAAAACTTGCACAATACCCAAAGTACTACTTGTCACAGGATCGGAGAAATCACCACCAGGGGGACTGACGGCACCGACAATACTAACACTACCTTCACGATCAGGTCCACCAAGAGCTTGAACTTTACCAGCACGTTCGTAGAAACTAGCAAGTTTAGCTCCAAGATAAGCGGGGAAACCTTGATCAGCAGGCATCTCTCCCAAACGACCAGAAATTTCACGAAGAGCCTCAGCCCAACGAGATGTAGAATCTGCCATCATGGCAACATCCTTTCCCTGATCCCTGAAATATTCGCTGATTGTAATACCTGTATAGATAGAAGCTTCACGAGCGGCGACAGGCATATTGGATGTGTTGGCAATAAGTGTTGTACGCTTCATGATAGGTTCTTTGCGTCCATCAATTTCAATGGAAAGTTCTGGGAAATCCATCAAGACTTCAGCCATCTCATTTCCACGCTCTCCACTATATATGATATTAGTATCATGTCGCCGTGATTTTGAAAAGACGAAAACTTACCATCCAACATATACAATGATATCACTGTTCGAGAACTTAGAAACCGATTGACTAATAACAGTCTTACCACAACCGAAAGCACCTGGAATGGCAACAGTTCCTCCTTGAACACTAGGGAAAAGGGCATCCAAGACACGTTGTCCAACGATGAATGGCTTATCTGCTGCCAACTTCTCGGTAGTTGGTCGTGGTACACGTACAGGCCATGTGTGCATCATGCTATATTCGGTCTTCTTGCCATCAAATTCAACCTCGAGGATCTTTTGGTCGACCTTGTAGCTTCCCTTTTCAGCAATGCGAGTAATTGTACCCCT